GTTCATTATTAGGCCTGTATTCAACATTATATATCGAAGTACATTATGTAGTCCGAAATATCTGCCTCTGATATCTATTTTGACATTAAGTCAAATGAATGAATATGTCGAAAATACCAGCATCTTCGGAGCAGTGGAAAATCTCCATCAAACAGGGACTGTCACTGCACCTGCTGACAACTGTCAAAATAGATATAAGAGCAAATATAGGGGCAGATGTTTCGGCCTATAGGCTACATTATTTTGTAATTAATTAGCAGACCAATGTCTAATGATTTCTCTTCACTGAAACTGTGATATTTGAATCGAATTCTTTTTTATATTTTGAAAGAATTGAGTCTTGCTTTTGGTGAAGATCTCAAGACTTGTCACCATTATCAATGATCTGACACAAAAATTTCAATCATTTCTTGAATCTCAAGCTGATCATATTGTAATTGGAGATAAAATAGCCAGATCCACATGTTGGAGCTATTTTCTTCAATTCTAATTCATTACTGAATAATTATAATAAATAGCATTTCAGTTCTTTACCACTTTACTTCTTAGATTCATTACATACCTTCAAAAACAATATTACAGTAGCCTACCGGTACTGATTAACTTAGCTAAAAAAATTACTTTTTCTGAGACTATGTTGCGATTGATAAAATGAATGGTGAATCTGTGTCTTTATATCCTTGAGATTGTATCTTTAAGCATTATTCAATATTCAGTTACCTGTTTAAAAACTTGATACAGTGACATTGGCCTAATTCAACATAGAACATGCTGGGGATTATGGCTACAAGTTAATATATACCAAGGCCAGCGAATGTTGTCAGTGCAAATTGTGTAGATGGATCTCTAGTTAGTGATTTTGACTTTGGCAATTTACAATTTGGTTTAGTTAGTTCATAATATATACAGTGGATAAATACAAGTTTTCGATTTTGACAAATACATTTTGGCTTTCTCTTTATGATTGCAGAGTAAGTGATCCAGTGACTATAAAATCATTATGGAGGCTGTAGCTAACAGAATGGAGAGGTTAACTGATGTAGCCTCTGCTAAAAAACAGAAAGTAAGTATAGTTGAGCACGGCTTCTTTTCAGCGCATCCAAAACTATAACATATCTCTACCGTGTTTCACTGAAGCTGCTAGAAATATGTCATAGTTTCTCAACTTTTTCCCTGATCACCATTTACTGGATAGCTCACTCTTTCTTCATGGGTTCAGAGAAAATTTCCTAGCTTACTTGTAGAAAAAGCCCTTTTTTGTGGGACGATTTTGGTTCCCTTTTAATAACTTGTAATATCAGAGAATTGGATCAGATATTAACCTCACTAATGAAACTATATTTTACTAGAATGGTATTTGTGATGGTGACATCATTATCTGGCTTGAAAACCATTTTTTGAGTCA